TCTCTGAAGAGGTAACCCCAAAATCTTTTTGGGACAAGAGCTCACAAATACTTTTAACACTTTTGGCCTTCGGGACAGAGTACTTTGCTAAAAGGCCCAAGGGCATTTTGACTTTTAGCCAAGAAAGAAACTGGCTACTTTTTTTGGGGGGGGTCTTTTTACCCTATCTGCCTAGCCAATTTTTACCTCCTATTTTTATTATATCACCCTCTGAAGAGGCTTACCAAAATTGCCAATAGGGAATTGGGACGCAGACCACTCTGGCTTCTTCCATGCTGAACAGGAATGCAGGGTGAGGCAATTGGGGTACCCCTTTCAGTGGGTCTATCTAAAAGACTCCCAAATTACATATCTCTTAACTATAGAGAGAAAAGAAGGGTGTTTGGTGCCTGGGAGATGTGAAGGAAAAGTAAAGGTAAGAGTAAAGGCAAGAGTAGTTAGTATTACAGTTTCTAGGCAGAGAACCAGAAAATGTCCAAATTAAAGTCCATTGGAATTTCTCATTGAGGGTGCCCAAAAGCATCCATCTAATAGGTTTTTCTCATTTTTCTTTTGCCTGCCAAGGCTGGAATGATCGATGAACTCAGGATTTGTTAGGCACTTTGATAACTCTTGGAGTGGCTAGAATAGCTCCCTCTTAAATGGCCTCTACATAGGGAGAGAAAACAAATTTAGCATCATTTTAGAGTAGTGAGTTGTTTCCCTCAGCTGCAGGTGGGCACTACAGTATTGTAGACCAAGATTTAAAGTCCTACACCTGAGTAGCACTGTCCTGTTACAAACAAAATCACCAATGAGAAATGTCTAAATAACATAAGAACTTAAGTCTAATGTCTGGGATGTGTAATATTTTGAGTTTTTAAAGAAATATATTGATGACTTTAATCTTTGGTTATACTTCCCCTTGGGTGTTACAGGGCATTTTTTTTGAGAGATGCTCCATAGCCCCTGGAACTTGTTTGACCTTGGAGGGCAAGGAACAAAAAATTGTTCCTTTAAGTCCCTCTGACCTGATTAGTATAGGCCTCAAAGTCTGGCTATTAAACATCCAAGAAGGTTAGTTACACCAGTCTGGTACTTTTAATTACCATGTGCTATGTAGATAGAACTTGGGCAAAACCCAAACATTTAAAAATAAACCTTGATGAGACATCCTTAAACTAGTTGACTAAGCTATGACCTTAGAAATTTTAAGATCTTTTTCTCATACTTGATAAATCATAACAAATCTACATAGGCCACCATCATTTGCTTAGGCTTTTTCATTTTTAACAAAATACCTCCATTCCTGTATCCTTCTAACATCTTAACATTCCCTTCTTTTTTAATAACCATGAGACATAACATTAACAAATAAACTTTCCATCTCTTGTGAGAATTTTTTCTGGGGATATTAAGCAATGTTTTTCCCCTTTTTTGTTGTAGTATCAAACCAATGTTTGATTACATTAAAGTTTTTCTGGGGAACCAATAAATTTATTGAGCTTAGTTACAGAGATGACTGAGGGGTTGCTGGGGTATACGAGTGACCTGAGAGTATTTACACTGGAAAGCCTTAACCCAGTAAGGATCAAGCCTTTTTTTCCTAGCCTTTCCCAGATAATATACTTTAGTTCCCTGCAAACCCAGGAGACAATGTAAGATTAGGGCCAAATTACATACAGTCGACTGGGAAGAGCAGCTGGATATTCAGGTGGGGTCCAATGACCCTGTTTACCCCTCCTCCTTTAATTAGATACTTAAGTCCATAAGTCCAGTTGTGATGATCTTTTGGTATTGGACACAGCTGAAGTCATGAAGATGGTAGTTTGACTCAGAAGAACATATTGTGTAGCATTATGTTATTAAAGAACATGGAATCTAAAATATATATATATATGATAATGTAATAAATTAATACATCTAAATTATATACATAAGATAATGTAATAAGTTAATATTACCTGTGTACATATTGTGTTTTATAAGTTTCCAGGTAAATCTTTTACCTTATGTAGTTTAATGAGTGGTCTACCAAAACCTTGCTTTAGGTGGAAAAAAGCAATTGGTACATAGTTAAACATTATTGAATTGATGTTTACAACCTCCAGCATAATTAATTTAGGAAAGCTGTGCTGTAACCCTGTTTAGACTTGTTATTAAAATTTAATAATTTTAGTAAAAAATTATAAACGAATTTATAAATTTACTGAGCAGTTTTTATCTCACATATATAGAGATGAACATTTATTTTTAAATATATTATATAAACTTTGAGATGTCCTTATAAGCCTTGAAGCAGGTTTTAAACAACCAAGTCTCCTTTAAAGGTTTAGAGATGTTTTATACAGACTTGGAAAATGTTTATTTTATGTATAACATATCTAAACATAAAGATAAATTGTAA